ATATATGCAGATACAAACAAGGTATGAAAAAGACATTAAAGATGAAGGGATTAATAAAGATTTGACAGAACTGGATAAAATACTATCAGGAACAGAGGATAAAATGATTAAAAGATTATATTGTTATCTAGTAGGTGTCAAGTAGGAACAAGAACAAGTTAAAGAAACAATGGGCAATTTTTTTTGGATATGCTGTAGAATTGGATAAGTGGCAGAAATTATGGGAGAGGAATTATAAACTGATAATATCGACAATATATAAAGAGAATTTGTACAAGATGTTTTACAGGTGGCATTTAGCACCAGCAAAATTAGCGAAAATGTTTAAAGATAAATCAATTAAATGTTGGAAATGTCATCAAATACCAGGGAACATATTACCATATGTGGTGGACTTGCACAGAAGCAAAAAAGTATTGGATTAAAATACTCACATGGTTGGAAAACGTAGTCACCGAACCAGTAGTAACACCGGTTGAATCCCACCCCTGCTTTAGTCCCATTTTTTCCTCATAACAACTGTGAAATGAGCTGTGCTGAGAGAAAATAACCAACTCAGCCACTCATGTTTAATTGAAATCTGCTTCCTTGCAGTTTTCACTGGGCAATAGTCCTGATCTTTTCTGCATACTAAACATATCCACTTCCTTTAAACAATATTTGTAGGACATACTTTCCAGAACATCCAATTTCACTACACACAGTCCACATATACTAGAAACTGCCTTTTGCAATGATAGTGATTTTGTCAGTGCTGAGGGTGTTCAAGTGGTGCTCAGATGTTTTGGAATTGTGCCCAAGATTTCTATTAGTATTGGTTCTATCAATTTTTTATTTTGCTGTAGTCCAATTCTATTTGCAGATTTTTATATTTTGTGATTTTTCCCCACCTTTTTCTCTTCTGCTGTGTCCAGGTATTGCAATGTCCACTATCCAGACTTCTTTTTTGTCTTATTGAAAATGGTTGAGTCTGGGTTGTTATGAGGCAGGTGCCTATCTGTTGGAATTCTTGTTCCAGAGCCTTTTTGTTTTCTATAACTTCATCTATTTTGTGACCTCAATAGTTTTTGTTTATAGGCAAGTAGTACTTCTGGGAGATAGTCCAGTGTACCATTGTAACATAGTTATACCCTTGCTTGTAGTCAGTCTATACAATCATCTTACAAAAAATCTAACTAGGTGAACCACTCTATCTTTAGTTTCTTTGTAGAGGTGGCATTTGCTGTCTGTTGCTGTGTTCTCGCCGCTGTCTTTGTATGCATTTGTTGTTAAGGTTTGGTCTTGTATTAGTCCTTCTGTCTATTTCTTCAGTTTCCTGCTCTTAGCTGTTGCAAGATCTTGTTATCCTTTTTTGCCTGCTATTTATTAAATTTGTCTTGCCATGTCTCTTTTCTGTTCTTTTTTAAAAAAATAAATTTTATTAGATATAATCTTTAAAAACATTGAACGTGGTGGACTTCTTTGGAATACATTTTGTCATTAAATATTATGTTAAGTACTCTAAAAATATGTGTGTGTGTGTGTGTGTGTGTGTGTGTGTATAATCTTCATACATTCCTTTCCATTACCTTTCAGATAAATCATATAATTCCTTATATCCTTCCTACAACTCTTTTAGTCCTTATTCCATTTTGCAAACTCCCTTTTTATTTGCCTCCAGTGGTAAAATTTATTCCATATTATATAGTATTCTGACTCATCTTTATCCTTCAATTACAATATCAACCTATCCATTTCGGCGCATTGAAATATCTTATTTATCACCTCATCTTCCCTAGGAATTTTTCTAACCTTCCAGTTTTGGGCAAATATTATTCTTACTGCCATAATTACATGGATTATTAGGTAGGTATCAGCTTTACTGAACTTCTCTGCCATAATTCCTAATAAGAACATCTCAGGTTTGTAGTTTATTTTTAGCCCCGTCATTTCCATTAACCACAGCCAAATTTTATACCAGAACTCCTCAGCCTTTTTACAGGACCACTATACATGGTTATATGTGCCCCGTTCTGTCAGACAATTCCAACAGTTAGGTGATTGGTTTCCGTACAATCTTGCTGGTGGGAGGTGCCACCTATAGAACATCTTGTACAAGTTTTCCTTGCATGATGTGGCTAATGTTGTTGTATCTTTTTCATACTGTAATTGTATTTGGAGATGGGCCCACTATTCCAGAACTACTCCTTGTTGTTTTAAGTCCGGTCTCTATTTAAGTTGGCCCACATCATTTATAGTATCTTTATAGGTAATGGCTTTTGTCTGGTTATGCAAGTTTGGATAAACTATTGCCTCTGGTGGCGATAACCAGGCTGGCAGTTCCATATAATTTTGAAGTTTAATTTTATTCCAAATCAGAAGTAGGGCTTGTCGAATTTTGTGTCTTAAAAAATATTGATGGACGGTGTTTCTGCCAAGCCACAAATATGCATGCCAGCCCTATTGTAGGTCGTGTCCTTCTAAGTGCAAGAGTCTTTTATTTTTTAAATTTATCCAGTCCTTAATCCAGGTAAGTGTTGCTGCCTGATAGCATAATTCCCATCCTGGAAGTCCAAATCCTCCTCTTTCTTTTGTATCTTGTAGTAATTTCAATTTAATATTGGGCCTCTTTCCTTGCCATACAAAATTTAACGTCAATTTATGCAAGCCTCCAAATAATTTTTTGGCTAATTTTATTGGTATATTTTGAAACAGGAAGAGCACTTTGGGTAGTATGTTTATCTTAATTGCTGATATTCTTCCTATAACGAGAGTCTTATATTGTTCCATCTTTCCAGATCTTTTATTTGTTTCAGCAGTTTCTCATAGTTATCTTCTTTAATCGTGGAGCAGCGTGCCGAGATGTTAATTCCTAAATATTTTATTTTTTGACTATCTGGCTGTCCAATTTCATAGCCAGGGTTTCTTTCTGTTTGTTAGTCATATTATTAACTATCATTTTTGTCTTCTTTATTTATTTTTAATTCAGCTACTTCACCATATTCCTCAAGCAATTCTAATCATTTTGGGCCTGTTGATTCTGGGTCTTCCATAATGAATACCAAGTCAGCAGCAAATACTTATAATTTAAAGATTTAAAGATGTCCATGTATCTCTCTTCTGTTCTTTATTTGGTTTTTCTATAGGCCTATTTGGTCTCTTCAATATTCAATAAGCCTTTATGGTATACTAGCTTCAGCACATTTTCTTCGCTGTTCTTCAGATATTCTTCTAATCCGTTTTTTTTTCATCTTCAACAGTCTGATGTACTTGCAACATCCCATGCCCACCTATTCTTTTTAGTAAGTTGAGTGTGTGTTAACATCACTCTATGCATGAAGGACATAATTCATTGTCATTTTTGGTCTTCCTATCCATGGCTTCTAGTTCAAACCTGAGTGCACTATTCTAGCTGAATGATAGGAATTGCCCAGGTGTTCATTGCCTTGATGGTATTTTTACCACTGAGTTTGGCCTTCAAAATGTTATTCTCATGATGTAGTTCACTACTAACTTTCTTGACTTCAGTGTGCTTGATGTTGTTAGCCCGAGAGATGGTCGTATATGTAGTGATGTTCTTCATATAGAATTTAGGTGTTAAACTCCATTGCAATATCTTGGCTGAATATGTGTATTGTATAATGTTGAGCAGTAATTCTATTTCAGTTGCTGTTTTCCCTGTAAACTTCTGATCATCCATTTGAAGGAGGTGGGATAGCCTGAAATTTTTTTTGGATATTTGATAGCCAGGCCTGACATATTCAGTATTTTTGACTACTGCAATGACAAATAGTACTGGTAATGGTAGGTTCTTTTCCCAGATATTGTTATGGACCAAACGTAGTCACCTAATCGGTAGTAACACTGGTTGATTTCCAACACTGCTCTTGACCTATTCAGATATTTACATTTCGATACAGCAATCTTAAATTAGTGGATCAACAAAATGCTCTAGACATAATGTACTTGGACATTAGTAAGATCCTTGTCAAAGTAGACCACAATATGCTACTTGGTAAGAAAGAAAAATTTGGACTAAACAGATCATGACCAAATGAATTTGTAACTGGCTGACCAATCACATTCAACATGTAATCCTTAATGGAATTGCATTACATGGAGGGAAGTATACAGTGGGTACCTGAAGATTATGTCTTAGATCCAATATTCTTCAACAACTTCATAAATATTTTACATGAGGAGATAAAGGGGAACTCGTTAAATTTGTAGACAAAACTAAACTCGGGAATAGTCAATACTTCAGAAGAAGACGAACATTAGGTCTTATCCAATAAAATACAGTTTGATGGTAAAAATATTGTGCATGCTTAGATAAGAAAAACTAAATACACGAGTGTAGAATAGATAGTATCTGTTCAATAGTAGTGAGTGAATAGGATGTAAGCGTCCTAAAGGACAACCACTTAAATATGAGCCAGCAAGATTCTGCAGCTGCCAAAAAAGTCAGTGGATTTCTAGGCTCCATCAACAGAGAGATAGTATAAAGGTCATATGTGCTGTTTTTTATTGTATTGGTGAGACCATAATTGTAATAATGCATCCAGTTTTGGTCACCATGAATTAAGAAATTTCTTGACAGCAACAATAATTAATCAGTGGAATAGCTTGCCTTCAGAAGTTGTGGGTGCCTCATCACCAGATGTTTTCCAGAAGAGACTTAGCCATTTGTCTGGAAAGGTATGGGATCTCCTGCTTGAGCACGGGATTGTATTAAAAGGCCTCATTAAAAGATCTGTTATTCTGTTAGATTTATTGGAATATAATTGATTCCAGAGTAATTCTAGAAAAAAACAGAATAGTTTCTGAAGATTAAAATGGGGGGGCTTTTCTGGTGTATATTTGTAGTTCATGTGAGCAAAATTTCATAATTCATTTTAATCATAACTATTAGCCAAAACAGTACTGATAGTTCTTCCCTAGGTTGTGTTTGCCTATAGAAAAGAAATATAATTCTGTGTAACTTTTTTCCTAGTTGATAATGCAGATTTTTTTTTTAATAATGAAAGTCCTTCTAATCTCTTTCTTTTTGTCATGCAGCTATTGCTGTCCTGAAGGATAAAGAAGCTGGATCATTCATTGTCCGTGACAGTCATTCCTTCAGAGGTGCCTATGGTTTGGCCATGAAGGTTGCTATACCTCCTCCTTCAATATTACAGTTAAACAAAAAAGGTAACTCCTTCCCTCAAAGAGGTTAAAGAAATTTATCCTTAATATTTTAAAACTCCATGGATCAGACTTCATATTAATGCAGAACCATTGAAAATTCTAAAGGGCTTACAAACTTTTAAAAATCACTATATATACGTATGTGTTTGTGTGTGCATGGGTGCATGAATAAGTTTTCGGTTACAGATTAATTAAGCACCTCATAGGGGTAATGTCATTGCCCAGAAGATCATTGGTTGCCCTCTCCCTTCTTTGGAAGAGCTTTATAGCCCTCGCTGCCTTAAAAAAGTTCAAAACATTCTCAAAGATCCATCTCATCCTGGGCACCCCTTTTTTGAACTATTACCATCTGGCAGATGGCACAGAATAATAAAAACAAGGACAAATAGGCTGAAAAACGGCTTCTATCCCAGGTCAGTAGCTCTTTTGAATTCTGCTGTATAGTGCAGTGTTGGTGTGGTGTCGGGGGTTTCTGGTTGAATGTGTGAAGGGTGAAGGATGTGTGTTTGTGTTTATTTTCATGGTCGTGGTCATGATTCAATCCAAAAAGAGATCACTTTGGCGGAAAAACAAATCTGGTCACGTTGCCAACTTCAGAAGCTGATACAAACATTTATGCCACCAGATAAAAACTGAATGCACCAATTATCACATTAAACAAGAGGAAAACCTTCTACGCACCAGTTCTACCCGTGCTTTCTACAGTTTTGTAAACAACAAACTAAAAGACTCAAGGTCCATCCCACCCCTGAAAGGACCTAATGGTAAAGACTGCAACGACGACACTATTAAAGCCAACCTCTTTAACACATCCTGTGGCTCAGTATTTGTAAACATGCCCAGTATTACCTAGTTGAACCACAGACAACTACAATGGTCTAATACATACCGGTTTTACAGTAGACAATGTTGAAAAAGCACTACTCAATCTAAAACCATCTCTGTTGGACTGGACGGAATATGTGCCTACTTCTTAAAAATGCTATTCACTGCCATAGCCGTGAAGGTAAGCATAATCTAATCCAAAGATAAGCATAATCTTTGAAAAATCTTTCAGGACCAGCTTCTTGCCAAAACTATGGTCACAAGCCACGGTCATCCCCATCTTCAAAAAGGGAGACCCCAGCCTAGTTGAAAATTACAGACCAATATCTTTATGCTGCGTCACCTGTAAAGTCATGGAATCAATTATTAATCAATCCATTATCCTCCACTTAGAGACAAACCTACTCTCTAATAAACAATTTGGTTTCAGAAAAAAACTCCTGCAATCTGAAACTCTTACACTGCAAAAACATATGGACTACACAACTTGATCAGGGCAAAGCAATAGACGCAATCTACATAGACTTCTGTAAAGCCTTTGATTCAGTGGTACATGACAAACTACTCCTAAAACGAAAATCTTATGGTATCTCTGGACACCTGCATAATTGGATAGAAGCATTCCTGTCAGACAACAAATGATCAAAATTGGGAGCGTTAAGACCTTGTTAATGATCCAAACTCTGTCAACGATCTTGGAGTACTCATCTCTAATGATCTAAGTGCTAGAGCCCGCTGTAACTACATAGCCAAAAAGGCATTAACAGTTGTTAACCTAATCTTACGTAGCTTTTTCTCTGGTAATATCACACTACTAATTAGAGCATACAAAACATTTGCTAGACCAATACTTGAATACAGCTCATCAGTCTGGAACCCACATTATGTATCTGATATTAACACAGTTGAGAAAATGCAGAAATATTTCACAAGAGTTCTCCACTCCTCTATTCGTTGCAGAATACCTTATGCCACCAGACTCGAAATTCGAGACCTAGAAAATTTACGCCGCCTTCAGTCCGATCTAAGTATAGTATATAAAATCATACATTGCAATGTCCTACCTGTCAATGAATACTTCAGTTTCAACCATAACAATACAAGAGCAAACAATAGATACAAACTCAAGGTTAATCGCACCAAACTTGATTGCAGGAAATACGACTTCAGCAATAGAGTGGTCAATGTCTAGAATACTCTACCTGACTCTGTGGTTTCTTCCCCAAACCCCAAAAACTTTAACCTTAGACTTTCTACTGTTGACCTCACCCCTTTCCTGAGAGGTCTCTAGGGGTCATGCATAAGCGCACCACTATGCCTACCGTCCCTGTCATATTGTTTCTTTTATTTTTTTTATATGTATCCATGTATTCATAACTATGTTTTTACTTATACCTATTATCTTGTAAGCAATTGACAAACCAAATAAATAAAAAATAAACGATCTGCACTGAAGATGGTGCTTGATTTCGTTGTATGAGGTGCAGTGACGATAAAGTAAACTAAACTAAACTAAAAACAAAGCATTCTTTATAGGTAAGCATATATGTATCTTCATGTCAGTTTTTGACTCCAGGCAACTATCTGAACAAGTCCAGGCTGGAAAAGTCCCAGTTTTCTTGGCAAGATTTTTTTTCAGAAGTTGTATGCCATTGCCTGTTTTCTAGAACTGAGAGAATGACTGCCCAAAGTTACTCTGGGTTCATGTCTAAGAGAAAACTAAAATTTACTGTCTTCCAGTTTCTAGCCTTGGGCCTTACTCACTACACTAAAGAAGCTCTGTTAATACTTATGCGTTTGGCATTAAACTATGAATTGACAAAACAGAAGCATTATTATGCAATATGGATGCCAAAACAATTTAGTTAAAAAATAGCAAAACCTCTTAATTGATCATACTGCATGAAGGTTAGTTTCTTATTTGGAAAACATGTATGTAAATTTGGAAAAACGTGCATAGAAAATGTACTTTCCAGTTATGTAGCTGAAGCATCCAGCAACTTGCAACCAGGCCAAACATACTACATCTGGATCCAGTTACAGAGTTCATTTGATGAGGTACCAGGGATAAAGCACTTCTAATGAAAAATTAACAGGAAAAAAACCTGAGATATTTGGATTGATTATATGACAAACAGATCAAGGAAGATTCTCCCCTGGGAAGTAGGATTTGGTGCTAGAATATAATAGTTACTAGGAATCTTAGGTAAAGTTGTGAGAAATTGAGAGAACTTGGAATAATTTGGATTTTGGAATGAAATAAATGTGCAGTTATTTCAAGGAAGGTAGACAATATTTAATATTTGTGTAATCAAGACTGGCATATAATGCTAGAATTTTAGGATAGTTATTTTCAAATAAGTACTTCAAATTATCAATATAAGCTGAGCAGAGCAGAGGAGCCATGTTGGCACAGTGATTACAATGCTGGTGGAGCCAAAGCTAGAGATAGTGAGGAGGTAAATAAATCCTGATTTTGCTTTAATCTCTAGACTTAGCTCCATAGGAGAAAAAAAGGTCAAGATTTTTCCCCCTCTTCATTAGCACTAGCTTTAGCTCCTCAGCATAATTGGAAAGCTAGCAGAGCTGATGCTGAGAAAGCTAAGGATAGCGATGAAAGAAAAAACATCAGGTTTTCTTCTTGATTATGGCACATGGCCAAAAACAGCAGCCTTTCCTTCTTCCCTGACTTGAGCTCTGAGAATCTTTGAAAAGTATATGTATGATTGTAACAGGTTGTGTAGGACAGAGGCATTTGGGCTATGAGACTCCAAGGGGCAGGAAGCAAAGCATGAGATATCTCGGGGTGTGGAGAAGCCTTGGGAGGCTCAATGCAGGTCGATATATGCCTGAAATAGGCTTCCTAGAGTCTGAAGCACCCCATGTTCCACTTAATGACCTATGCACTTATTTAATGAACGCATTGGGAGAGAAGGAATAGAGCAGTTGTTCATGAGGCTGTTCATTTAACAGTCATCCCGACTTTCATCAGTAATAGGCAGGGTCCGTTACTGCTATAACTCTATATACTGTGTTTTAATTAAATTGATTAAACAAATAGCCTACTTAGGAAAAAATAAATAAAAATGTTATCTTTGTTGTTGTGAACTTTATTGAGAGACTGTTAATACATCTCAGATTATTTTTCATCCTGGGATTGTAGATTGACCAGTCCAAAGTTTTCTCATTCTTGTTTGGGTGGAAAACAGTGGTTCTTAACAAAATTACACATTGCTTATATAATGGGATCAGCAGAATGTCAACTGTAATTTGGTTATTTACAGAAGTATGCCAACAATGTTAATCACAACTTTCCTTCCCAATCTTTCCATCAGCCTTGCCCATCTGGGTTACCCTCCCCCTCCCCCTCAAAAATGCAAAAAGAAAGAAAGCTCTGAGCCAAGCTTTGATAGATTCTTTCAAAGAAATTTCAGACATCAAAATAAATAAACGGTCAATATTTCTAAGCTTTATATTTTACTTCTGTTAGGTATACTAAAATTGAATTGCAAATAACTAAGCAATCATTGAATAGCAAGAAAATAAATCAGTAAACTATATAACTGTTAGCTGTCTTCTAGATTGTTTTAAATACAGGCCTAACTTTAACATTATGAATTCAGCCATTTTAAGTTATCATGAGTCATTAAACAATTTTTTTGTAAATTGTGGCTATAATGATTTTATGCTACCCCTTAACTTGTGTAATGTGCAATGAAATTAATCTGAATTGTAATGCTTGTCTGTAAGAATACATTTCTTATCCTTTCATTTACTATCATTGTATGCCATAGTTGGAGACACTTCCAATGAACTTGTGAGACATTTTCTGATTGAGTGTACCCAGAAAGGAGTGAGATTGAAAGGATGTCCCAATGAGCCGTATTTTGGTAAGCATTCTTTGTATCATATTATTCATATATATTTCATTAGATATTATAAAACATGGGAAGTATTTTTCTATAAAATGAACAACACAATTATTCCCTAAAACAAGAACTATTGCTAATCTTTGTGGGCAAAGCTTACATATTTTATTTTTTATTTTAATTTAATTTCTGGGGGACACTGATAATTTTTATTTGCACTGTGTTAAATTTATATTATTTCATAATAAATGAATTAATGACTTTTGAATACTTTGAAGCTTGAGATTTTGTTTCTTTATAGCTTTTTTATATATTCTCTCTTTAATCTCTTTTATACTTCTGATATTTTGTCTCCCTGGTTTACATTTTGCATTCATTTCCTATAATTGTTCTAGGGAAGTTCCTACAGCCTTATAAAAGTAAAGTCCTACTGGAAGAAAAGGAAACACTTCCTAAAATGGGAGTGAAATGTTATGATTTCTAGATGGTTTTTGTTTTGCTTTAGTTTGCTTACTTTTAAAAAACAAACAAACATAAAGTATACAATATCAAATTTGTTCTGTTCTTAATGTTCCAAAATACAGATATATAATTAAAAATGTTCTACTTTAACAGACTAGATTTTTACTTTTGTGATGGAGAAAGTAGTACATACTTTGTCTGATGAAAGGATGATTCCAAATTTATAGGACATATTATCTTACCTCCAGTACTCCAATTTCAAACTCCAATAATTATTTGGGATACTATATAATGTTTTTTTCTGTTTGTTCTGTTGATGTCTCCTATTTTGTGGAGATAGAGGCAGGCACCATTTAATTACTTTTATTTCAATTGAATGTGGCTAGAAGAGTTTTGGTGGCTATGTGTGTGATCCCTTATAAAACAAATAATCCATGCAAACCACTGAAAATATGCAAGTACTGATGGATATGATAAATTTTGGTGAGGATAACTTATTTCCTTATTTATTATTAAATTTTGCTACCCATCTCACTATGGCTCTGCGTGCGTGTGTGTTAGTAAAAATGCAGGTTAAACTAAAAGATGGGAAGGAAGGGAGCAGAATGTACAGAAGTGGGAGGTGGACTCTGCTATTAGTCTGTTAACCATCTCCAGTGTGATACTGCCCAATTGGGGCTCCAAGCCAACTAGCAGAGCCAAGTCTTCAGGGTAGTCAGGAATGTGGGAACCAATCTCGCCTCACATGGCAAGATGTTCCAGAGAGCCGGAGCCACAGCAGAGAAACCCCACCAATCAAAATTATCTTACTGACAGAGAGTCCACATTATACTTGCTCTGCTAGGACAGGTGAGGCAGGCCAGCCCCAGTGGGTGAAACAGTTTCTCAGGTGGTCTGGACCTGTGCCATGTACGGCTTTAAAGGTAATAATGTTGAATTGCATCCAGAACAAACCGGCAGCCAGTGCAGCTGACAAAACAGTGAAGAAATGTGGGCCATTCTGTGGGGCCCAGAAGCTTTCCCTAGAGCTGGCACACTCTGCAGCATTTATAGCTTTGGAATGTTCTTTAATGTACCCCCATGTAGAACGCATTGCAGTAATTCAGACATGAGATGATCAGAGCTTGAATGACTGAGTATAGGGACTCCTGATCTGGAAAAAGCCACAATGGATAAAGAACTTAAAGTTGTGCAAAGATTCTCCTAGCTGCAACTTTCACCCTGCTCTTCGAGCAGAAATTGCAAGTCCAGGAGAATCCTCAAATTGTGAACCGGGTCTGTTTGGAGTACTGCAGTATAGTATAGTCATAGTATGAGGGTTTTTTTAATCTCTTGACTGAACATTTCTGCAGCCAACATCTAATGGATGGGTAACTCCAAATATGGAAGTCTTATAAACCTATATATAGATGTTATTTCATATAGAAATAAATATTCAAAAAATGTGAAGCAGAATCAGCTGGATATGATAATTGGCCGGTATTATTGGACAAAAGATGATCTAGTATAATTTTAACTCCTTGCAAAACCTCTTATCCAAGAGAAAAATATTGTACCCATAGTACAATAGAAAAAAAGTTGCAGCCTCATTTAATAATTAGTTCTTTGCATAGAGAGAGTACTAAATAATATAATTTCTCCCAATATTATCCCTATCAATGGAGAGATGCATCTTTAGGTGTTGCTCATACACCTGTTGCTCTCTTGTTTGGCCTACCTTTTCCTGGATTGACTATCTGAAAACGTTGTGATTCTGTAATAAGAAATACAGAATATAAAAGTTAAAATACATACATAACTTACAAAAACTGCATGTATTTTTTAATCCAGTAAAAAGATTTACTTTATGGTTTTTTTTGTTTGTAATTACAGGAAGTTTGACAGCTTTGGTGTATCAACATTCCATTACCCCTCTGGCATTGCCTTGCAAGCTACTCATCCCAGACCAAGGTATTGCTGTTTTTATTATAAACTTTTATTTATTACACATGAAACTCGGTCAACTGAATAATAATTATTATTATTATAAACTTTTATTCATTAAACATGAAACTCAGTCAACTGAACGTTTAAAAATGTATCACAAATATCATTGACTGGCTCTGATGATTGATACGGGTTGCTGCCAGCATCCTAGGAATAAAATACAATAGAATATAATAGAATTCTTTATTGGCCAAGTGTGATTGGACATAAAGAATTTGTCTTTGGTGCATATACTCTCAGTGTACATAAAAGAAAAAATAAAATAGATTCATCAAGAATCATGATACAACACTTAGTGATAGTCCTAGGTTACTAATAAGCAATCAAATCATATTAGGAAACTAATAAAAGAATATAAGTTGTAAAGATACAAGCAACACGGTTATAGTCATAAGTGGGAAGAGATAGGTATTAGGAAGTGTTATAATCTAGTAGTAGGAATAATAGTAATATAGTCTTAGTAAATAAGTTGACACTGTTGTGAGACTTGTTTAGCAGAGTGATGGCATTCGGAAAAAAAAACTCCTTTTGTCTAGTTGTTCTGGTGTGCAGTGCCCTATAGCGTCATTTTGAGGATAGAAGTTGAAACAATTTTTGTCCAGAATGCGAGGGGTCTGTAGATATCTTCACAGCCCTCTTTTTGACTCATGCAGTATACAGGTCCTCAATGGAAGGCAGGTTGGTAGCAATTATTTTTTTCTGCAGTTCTAATTATCTGTTGAAGTCTGTATCTGTCTTGTTTGGTTGCAGACTCAAACCAGACCATTATAGAGGTGCAGATGACAGACTCAATAATTCCTCTGTAGAATTGAACCAGCAGCTCTTTGGGCAGTTTGAACTTTCTGAGTTGGCGCAGAAAGAACATTCTTTGTTGTGCGTTTTTGATATTAGATGTCCATTTTAAGTCTTGAGTTATGATAGAACCTAGGAACTTGAAGGTCTCTACTGTTGATACTGTGTTATCTAGTATTGTAAGAGGTGATTGTATAGGAGGGTTTCTCCTAAAACCTACCACCATTTCTACAGTTTTGAGTGTATTCAGTTTAAGATTGTTTCTGGTTGCACCACAGGGCTAGTTGTTCAATATCCTGTCCGTATGCAGATTCATCATTGTCTCGAATGAGACCAATCACTGTTATATCATCTGCAAACTTCGGTACTTTTAACAGAGGGATCTTTTGAGATGCAGTCATTGCTATATAGAGAGAAGAGAAATGGAGAGAGAGCACAGTCTCGGGGGGCTCTTGTGCTAATTGTACAGGAATCTGATGTGATTCTGCCTATCTTCACCTGCTGCTTCCTGCCTGTTAGGAAGCTTATGATCCATTTACAAGTGTGGTCAGGTACACTTTAGCTGATTTAGTTTAGTTAGAAGAATATCTGGAATGATGGTATTGAATGCTGAGCTGAAATCTACAAAGAGGACTCTTGCATAGGTCTTTAGAGATTCAAGATGTTGTAGGATGTAGTGCAGAGTCATATTAACAGCATCATCTGTCAATCTATTTGCTCGGTAGGCAAATTGCAAGGAGTCTTACAGCGGATCCGTGAGGGTTTTCAGGTGGGCCAGCACTAGCCTTTCAAAGGTCTTCATAACTACAGATATTAGAACAACTGGCCTGAAATCATTCAGTTCCTTGATTGAAGGTTTCTTCAGCACTGGAATGATAGTAGAGCATTTGAAGCAAGAATGAACATAGCACATCTCTAGTGATTTATTAAAGATGCAGATGAAGATGGGCGCCAGTTGATCAGCACAAGCTTTTAAGCAAGAAGGAGTTATCTTGTTTGGGCCTGGTGCTTTTCCTGGCTTTTGTCTGTGAAATAGACCTTGTACCTCATCTCTGTAATCACCAGAGGTGGTGGACCCAACGGGATGGGGTAGGTTGTAGGAGGCTTGGCTGTTGTTGGTAGGTCTGAGATGCGGATTGTGGAGATGGATGGCAATAGTATTCTGCCAGATGTTGATTTCCTTCAGCGTGGAAAGGAGGCTTGGTGTAGCCAGTGGTATTTTAAAGAGTTTTCCACATGTTTGCTGGTTCATTTGTTGAGAACTAATTCCTTAGCTTCTTTTTGCTTCTCTGATCTCCCTTATTAATATGTTTCTGTCCTGATTGTATAGTATTGTATTGCCTTTTCTGTAGGCTTCCTCTTTGGTACAATGTAACTGCTTAAGTTTAGCTGTGAACCAAGGTTTATTGTTACTGAATATTCTCAGGTTTCTGATTGACACACCTAGCTCTCATACGATGTTACGGTATCTGTGAGTTCATCCAAGTCTGCAGAGTGTCTTCGAATACATTCCAATCAGTGCAGTCAAGGCAAGCCTGAAGCTTTAACTTTGCCTCCTCAGTCCAAGTCTTCACTGATTTAATTGTTGGTTTCATGGTTTTAAGTCTTTGTCTGTAAGCTGGTACAAGGTTAATCATACAATGATCAGAGTGTCCCACAGCTACTCGTGGTAAAGACCGATAAGCATCTTTTAATGTTGTCTAGCAATGATCTAAAGTATTATTGCCTAGTGAGACAATTGACTTGCTGAAAATATTTTGGTAGCTCTTTCCTTAGGTTTGCTTTATTGAAATATCCTAAAATAATTTGAAATGAATCTGGGTATTTAACTTCAGCCCACATAATCTGATCAGCTAGAGTTCGGAATGCATTGTTTATACAAGCTTGTGGAGAAACATACACAGCAATAAGGAGAAATGAGGAGAACTCTCATGGAGAATAGAATGGTTTGCAATTAATGTCTCACAGAATTTCTTTAGTATAGTTATATTTCTGGATCAGCAGCTGTTAATATATAAACATAAACCTCTCTTCTTTTTACCAGATGTTTCTTCTGTTCTGTCTGCTGTTTGTAATTAAAATCCTGGGATAAGCAGGCTACTATCATCAATTGACTTATTTAGCCAGGTTTCAGTGAAGTAGAGAACTGCTGTTGTAAAAATCAGAATTGCATCTATTTAAAAGAAGTATTTCATCCATCTTATTAGCAAGTGAACGTAAATTAGTTAGAAAGAGTGAAGGGAGAGGGATTTTTATCCCACTTTTCCTTAGTCTATTCAAAATTCCTGCTCACCCGGCTTTTTCATCTCCATTTGTTTGGTTTATTCATTGTTCAGAGGAACAATTGTTCAGAGCTTCCTGTATTGGAAACTCTTTTGCATTTGTAAAGACCGGGGTGGGGGGAGTGAAGTCACAGATAGTTGCCCATCAAAGAAACATTGCTTGATGTTTAGTAGTTAGTTTCTTGAGTAAGAAACCCGTAGATAATCACAGAGAATAATAAAAAACAGAAAAACTATCAGAGATCATTTCACCAAGGTTGCAGTTGTTGGTGCTATCTTGGCAGGAAGAGGCGTAACTTCTTAAAATGTATGTTCCGAGTAGCGCAGTCTTTTGCAGCTCCACTGGCACTATAGCAGGAAGCTGCAACTTCTTGATGTATTATTATCTTCAATTTGATTCACAGTCTGGGACTGGTAAAAACTTGAAAACTGGGACTTGAACTAAGTCTTAACCAAGGACCTAAGAGCTATTAAGTTAACATCTGATTATATAGGCAGTTCCAAGTAAGATATTTTTTTACAAAGTCAGGATATTCGGATAATGTTGTTGTTATTTTGTTGCATATCTCACAGTGAGGCTACTCAAGGCAGCTTAAAATAATAAAAAGGAAGAAAAAATAAAAGGCATGTAAACAGTACAGAAGTAAAACAACAGAAGAATAAAATAAACAATGACAAAGAAATAATGAGAATAAATACATCAATATAAGTTATATTTATATAATTTAAACATATAATTTAAAATATAAATATGAGATAATATATATAATAATTATATTAACATATGCTGTTAATAGTTTTTCAGAACAGCTTCATTGTAGCTAATAGTGAATCAACAATGGTTGTATTTAATAAATATGAGATTCAACATGATGTTTTATAACAATGTGATTTCTCATTGCACATCTGATGTTCAATTAAATAGTTTGAGTAACATCATTTTGGCACATGGTAATTATTATTTATTTTATTTAGGAGCTTTTTTTCACCATCAATAATGTAAAGCACAATAAAATGACGCTATAGGGTACTGCACACCAGAACAACTAGGCACAAGGACAGTTTTTCCCTGAATATGATCACTCTGCTAAACACTCTGCTAATTTTTATCAAATGATTAATTGATTTATTGTTTTTACTGATTAGTGTGATTGAATGTTTAGTGCATATAGTGTGATTACTGAATATCTGATTAGTAAAATCAGTGATTAAGTGAATTTAATTGACCAGTGTGTTTAGTGATTAATGTAATTAATTAGGCTGTTTGTTGCTTAGCAAAATTGTTTGATTAGAGTGATTTGAATAATTGATTGATTGATTTTTAGTAATAAGTAACCTTACTTTTGAATTGTTCTCTAACATCAATTAACATTTATTAATTACCAACATTCATTAAGTAACTGTCTACCTATCACATTAACTAGCTATTGTAATTGTTTAGTGTACTATTGCCATTGACCATGCCAGCCAAAAACTCCAAACCAAACCAAAACAAAAATATCTCTACCAATGACCTCCCAGACTCCTGCACATATTTCAGATGTCTTGAAACCATCAATGAAAGCGAAATTTACATCAAATGCTGCCTATACGACAATCTAACCCACCCTGCCTGCTTAAATGCAAATAAAAGCCTAGCTAATATGGTTAAAAATTCAGATACATTCTTTTATCTATGTCCATCATGTTCTCCAAAGCTAAACAAACTGAGTACCCTACCTGACAGAGTTGAAAGCATAGAATCATTCATTCACTCAATAGAAGAATACTTAGCAACACGTTTTGAAACAACTATACAAGCAAGCCTAATCTCTCTTGTAGGTATCAGCTTAAAATCAGATCCCACAACAACCACAACCACTACCTCAACTACAATCACAACTACAACCAAAAATAACCATAGCCTCAAACAATTACTATCCCATCAAATAATTCCACAAATAATATTCCCCTACTCATCAAAGACATCATGGAACGTGAACAGAAACGTCCAAATGCCATCTTATTTGGTCTCGAAGACACCAATGAATCAGATGACATCACCAAAGTTCGTAATATCATAAGCAACTCAAATACAACAAACATCTCTCCTAAAGATATCATTGAAATAACCAGAGATGACCCTGAGTTCAAATACAATGACGGCACTGTGGTCCCAAGATTTTGTAGAGTTGTATGCAAAAATGAGTCCAGCAAATACATATTCATTTATACAATAAACGCCATTGCAAAAACCAGTCCCAACCACAAAAAACTTTGCTCAAGACCAGACTTATCCATACTGCAAAGAATCCGCTCCTGTGAACTGCGCGCAGACCTCAAAAACCATCTAGACAATGGAGAAAAGGACCTATATACATTGACTGCAGTGCTGATTACATCAAAAGAAAGTCACATAACCCACAACTCCGCATCCAACTCCACCCTATCCAATCTAACATCACTCAAAACTAGGAAAGCATGCCCCTAACTACCTCTATTTGAACCACAACTGGCCTTAAAAGCAAGCTACTCAATGCAAGAAGCCTTGTAAATAAAATACCTGAATTTCTCCTCTTACTAAATACGGCTGAATTTGACATGTTTGTCTGTGAAACATGGCTCAATGCATCTCTCCCTGACTCCATTGCCACAGTAATAGACTATCATGTTTATTGATCAGATCGTGAAATCCGTAGAGGAGGTGGTGTTGCTATCTTCTATAAAAAGTCCCTACATCTAAAAAACATCCAAGTTACCCAGGAGCTTGCTATTCCTGAGACCATCGTCTGTGAACTGTCCTTAAATATCACATTTCGGTTCTTACTATGTTACAGAGCCCCTGATTATGACATTGAACATGCAAACAAGCTAAATACACTACTAACATGGACAGTATCCTGCCCAAACGCTGTTATCTTTCTTGGTGACTTCAATCTTCCTCATATTAACTAGACCCTTAACGAATGTACAACTGAACCCACACATGCAACCTTCTACAATGCAGTAACAAATTTGGGACTAGAACAACTAGTAACCAACAACACTAGACTTAACAACTGCCTCGATCTCATCTTCTGCAATAGTTTGAATTCAATTTACGGAATACAAATTAAAGAACCCTTTTCCAACAGTGACTACAACATGATTGACTTTTGTCTCAACATATGTCCACACAAAAATAATCACAACGACGGAATTCCCAATTATAACTTCAAAAAAGGCAACTATGATCTTATAATCAATGATCTCTCTTCCCTTGATTGGCAATTTCTATTCACTGGATGCAATACTGTAGAAGACCATAACAACATATTTGTACTTGAAGTCAAAAGAGTCATCAAACTACATGTACCAATAACAACTCCCAAAACCAGAAAAAACAAATTACACATAACAATAAGGAAGCTTCCATCCAAAAAGAAATCACTTTGGCGGAAAAACAAATCTGGTCACGTTGCCAGCTTCAAAAGCTGATACAAAAATTTATGCCACCAGATAAAGACTGAATGCACCAATTATCACATTAAACAAGAGGAAAACCTATGCACCAATTCCACCTGTGCTTTCTACAATTTTGTAAACAACAAACTAAAAGACTCAATGTCCATCCCACTCCTGAAAGGACCTAATGGTAAAGACTGCAACGACGACACTATTAAAGCCAACCTCTTTAACACCTTATTTGGCTCAGTATTTGTAAACAGCAATGGATCATGCCCAGTATTTCCTAATTGAACCACAGACAACTACAATGATCTAATACATATCGATTTTATAGAAGACAATGTTGAAAAAGCACTATGCAATCTAAAACCATCTCTATCAATTGGACTGGACAGAATATGTGCCTACTTCTTAAAAAAGCTATCCATTGCCATAGCCGAACCTCTAAGCATAATCTTTGAAAAATCTTTCAGGACCAGCTTCTTGCCAAAACTATGGTCACAAGCCACGGTCATCCCCATCTTCAAAAAGGGAGACCCCAGCCTAGTTGAAAATTACAGACCAATCTCTATGCTGCGTCACCTGTAAAGTCATGGAATCAATTATTAATCAATCCATTATCCTGCACTTAGAGACAAACAACCTACTCTCTAATAAACAATTTCGTTTCAGGAAAAAACTATCATGTAATCTGCAACTTCTTACACTGCAAAAACATCTGGACTACACAACTCGATCAGGGCAAAGCAATAGACGCAATCTACATAGACTTCTAATTTGATTCCGTGGTACATGACAAACTACTCTTAAAACTAAAATTTTACGGTATCTCTGGACACCTGCATAACTGGATAGAAGCATTCCTGTCAAACAGACAACAAATGGTCAAAATTGGGAGCGTCCTATCAAATTCTGTACCTGTCAACAGTGGTGTCCCCCAAGGCAGTGTTCTAGGACCAACTCTTTCCATACTCTACCTAAATGACCTCTGTGATCATATTAAGAGCAACTGTGTTCTCTTCGCTGATGATGTAAAGCAATTCAACACCACAGACAATACTGCTACCCATCAAAAAGACCTTGACTATGTATCAGAATGGTCAAACAAATGGCAACTTCAAATCTCAACAAATAAATGCTCTGTCCTATAAATTGGCAAAAAATAAATAAATCAGAAAATAAAATACAGGCTGAATAGTCAAGTCCTTGTTGATGATCCAAACTCTGTCAAGGATCTTGGAGTACTCATCTCTAATGATCTAAGTGCTAGAGCCCACTATTACTACATAGCCAAAAGAGTTGTTAACCTAATCTTACGTAGCTTTTTCTCTGGTAATATTACACTAATAACTGGACAGAGCATACAAAACATTTGCTAGACCAATACTCAAATACAGCTTTTCAGTCTGGAACCCACATTATATATCTGATATTAACACAGTTGAGAAAGTCCAGAAATATTTCACAAGAAAAGTTCTCTACTCCTCTACTCGTTGCAGAATACTTTATGCCACCAGACTTGAAATTCTAGACCTAAAAAACTAGAACTACGCCGCCTTCGGTCCGATCTAAGTATAGTATATAAAATCATACATTGCAATGTCCTACCTGTCAATGAATACTTCAGCTTCAACCATAACAACACAAGAAGCAAACGACAGATACAAATTCAAGGTTAATCGCACCAAACTTGATTGCAGGAAATACGATTTCAGCAACAGAGTGGTCATTGTCTGGAATACTCTACCTGACTCTGTGGTTTCTTCCCCAAACCCCAAAAACTTTAACCTTAGACTTTCTACTATTGACCTCATCCCTTCCCTAAGAGGTCTGTAGGGGGCGTGCATAAGCGCACCAATGTGCCTACCGCCCCTGTCCTATTGTTTCTTTTATTTTTTTATTTTTCTTATATGTATCCATGTATTCATACGTATGTTTTTTTTACTTATACCTATTATCTTGTAAGCAATTAACAAAAATAAATAAATAAATAAATAAATATAAATAAACTAATTCCCATAATACTCAAACTATTTAGTAAGACTGTATTACTATTATTCTCATCCTTCCTATTACCTATCTCTTCCAACTAATAACTATAACCATGTTGCTTGTATCTCTACAATTTATATTGGTTTATTTGTTACCTAGTATGATTTGATTGCTTATTAGTAACCTATGATTATCACTAAGTGTTGTATCTTATGATTCTTGATTAATGTATTTTATTTTTTCTTTTATGTTCACTGAGATCTATCAAAGACAAATTCCTTGTGTGTCCAGTCACACTTGGCCAATAAAGAATTCTGTTCTGTTCTACTCCATTCCATTCTATTATAGCATCTCTATAACTATTAAAAGCATTCAATAGATTAAATAAATTAACAGCCAACAAGGGTACACAGAAAGCAGGAAAATAGTGCAACAATTGATGTAGATAGCAATAGCACTTAGCCTTATATATTACTTCATAGCGCTTTACAGCCCTCTCTAAGCAGCTTATAGAATCAGCATACTGCCCCTAACAATCTGGGTCCTCATTTTATCAACCTCAGAAGGCTGAGTCAACTTTAATCCGGTGAGAATCAAACTCTTGTCAGCAGATGACAGGAAACATAATTAGAAAATAACCTTCATTGATGCCAAATATAACAAGTTATGAGCTTAGCCTATAGAAATAATTGGTGTTTTAAATCGCTCTCATTACACCATGTTCACAACTCTCTCAGTACTGTTATATACAGCATAAGGAATATGTGGTCTTAAAAGCTGATGGAAATTATTAACAACTGTACTTGGATTGAGTTTTCAATCCAAGTCATTTTGAAAACGTCTGTAATTTCTGTTTGTAGACCCTCTGGATGAGATTTCTGAAGCCTCCACACAAACCTCTGTAAATTCAGCTGCAGAGCTTTTGAAACAAGGAGCAGGTTCGTAAGTAGGTTCTAATCTTTTAATGCTGTCATCAGAAGAACTTTTCATGTGCATTAAACTTCAGTTGGCTATATTAATAGCTCATTCAAGCTTCATAGGCACCACATAGAAGGTCCTGAAAGAAAGAGACCAGGTCTGGAGAGAGTGGGCATACTTTTGCCCTTCTCTGGCCAATAAATCACTAATGTCACTTGAGAACAGCATAGTGTGTCAGAATTTGCATTTCTTGAACTGTTGTGGTTAGGAAAACACTATTTTAACATTAAAACTGAAAAATATGAATACTTCGTTGTGAACAAATTGGTGACATTAATATGATAAAAATAGAAAAAAGACAACATTTAGGTATATTTATCTGATTATGCAAATAGAGATATAGCCTAAATTTATATATCAAATCATTACATTAATTACTTCCTTCTGTCTTTAACTTAATTTTCTTCCAATTTTATAATTTTTTTCCTTAAAAAAATATTTTTTGATGCCTCTGTATTGTCAATGTTGACTCCTCCTGAATTTTCTTGCCAAGGTTTTGAAAGTGATTTGCTATTGCCTGTTTCCTATGGCTAAAATTCTGAGATTCATTAAAATCATATAGATTTTAAAATTCCATTTCAAATTCCATTTGTAATATGTATTTTAAAATGAATTCAATTTAGAAATGCAGTTATTGTCTAACCTGGTTTTAATTGCCCAAAATTTATTTTAATATTAATAAATTTTTAAAGAAAGATTATATGACTAATCACATAAATATGTACATTATCTGTCTGTCTGTCTATCATTTTTAAAGTTTGATAAACAGCAAAGTGAACTTAGATTAAAGAAAGGTGATATAGAAATAAATATTACACAAATTTCACTTTTTCTCAAAATGTTTTTTTAAAAACTGAGGGGAAATTCTTACCTCCACTTTCCCTCTGCATTACCACTTCAATATTTTTAGAAATTAAATTTCTTAATCAGGATCAAATTATTCTATTTGTAGCTTTGTTCATCATTTGCTTTTGCTTTGTTTTATAGCCTGCAACGTTTGCTACCTGAATTCTGTTGAAATGGAATCTCTAACAGGTCATCAAGCTGTGCAGAAGGCTTTGACCTTAACTTTAGTTCAAGAGCCTCCTCCCACCTCTACTGTAGTGCATTTCAAAGTGTCTTCACAAGGTATCACACTGACAGACAATCAGAGGAAGTAAGTATAGAAAGCAAAATTCTGTCCAGTACTATGATTTGTTTTTTCTGTGTTGTGCTGTTTGCTTAATTAAAATTAATACATTTCTGCTTTTTGGGGTCATTTCTTTGTATAATTATAATAATGTGCACTTAATTATATTTGTACACAAATTCAGAGGAATACTGTGAAGTTTTTCATTTGGAAAACTTTGAAGTTTTTGAAAGTGCTGTTGCATGCATGTAAATGTGTCACTTCAGAATGATCCCTAATAGTATTGCTTCTGTGATGAAGCTTCTTGCTCAGTTGTGTGCCTTCACCAATACTAGAAAAGTGGACATTGCAGGAACACAGGGTAGTTTTAGTGCCTCTACCTCCTCTATTCAATAACCCAGAAGTGTGAATAATTTTTTTTCTTCCACTATTACTGCTCTACTGTTGATGGTAAGAGTACTAATTCTTCAATTGGCACTCTTGCAATATTGCTTCTGAACAATTAGTTTTCTGAGCACAAAGATGCCAAACATCCATTCAAATTCAAGGTGAAGGAAGCTTTCTAGCCTGTACAAGAGACAGTGCAGTGCCTGTAGCTGCTCACCTCTTAGGACAGAACAATATCAGAGTGATTTGTTCAACACAGGACAACAGTTCTTAAACAGGCAAAAATGGGGGACAAAACAGAAACAAAGTCATTCATGGTCTTAACAGTCACAAAAATATACACTGCTCAAAAAAATAAAGGGAACACTTAAACAACACAATGTAACTCCAAGTCAATCATACTTCTGTGAAATCAAACTGTCCACTTAGGTAGCAACACTGATTGACAATCAATTTCACATGCTGTTGTGCAAATGGAATAGACAAGAGGTGGAAAGCATAGGCAGTTAGCAAGACATCCCCAATAAAGGAGTGGTTCTGCAGGTGGTGACCACAGACCACTTCTCAGTTCCTATGCTTTCTGGCTGATGATTTGGTCACTTTTGAATGCTGGCAGTGCTTTCATTCTAGTGGTAGCATGAGATGGAGTCTACAACCCACACAAGTGGCTCAGGTAGTGCAGTTCATCCAGGATGGCACATCAATGCGAGCTGTGGCAAGAAGGTTTTCTGTGTCTGTCAGCGTAGTGTCCAGAGCATGGAGGCGCTACCAGAAGACAGGCCAGTACATCAGGAAATATGGAGGAGGCTGTAGGAGGGCAACAACCCAGCATCAGGACCGCTACCTCTGCCTTTGTGCAAGGAGGGACAGGAGGAGCACTGCCAGAGCCCTGCAAAATGACCTCCAGAGGGCCACAAATGTGCATGTGGCTGCTCAAACGGTCAGAAACAGACTCCATGAGGGTGGTATGAGGGCCCGACATGCACAGGTGGGGGTTGTGCTTACAACCTAACACCATGCAGGATGTTTGGCATTTGCCAGAGAACACCAAGATTGGCAAATTCGCCACTGGTGCCCTGTGCTCTTCACAGATGAAAGCAGGTTCACACTGAGCACATGTGACAGACGTGACAGGGTCTGGAGACACCGTGGAGAACATTCTGCTGCCTGCAACATCTTCCAGCATGACCATTTTGGCAGTGGGTCAGTAATGGTGTGGGGTGGCATTTCTTTAGGGGGGCATACAGCCCTCCATGTGCTCTCCAGAGGTAGTCTGACTGCCATTAGGTACCGAGATGAGATCCTCAGACCCCTTCTGAGACCATATACTGGTGCGGTTGGCCCTGGGTTCCTCCTAATGCACGACAATGCTAGACCTCATGTGGCTGGAGTGTGTCAGCAGTTCCTGAAAGACGAAGGCATTGATGCTATGGACTGGCCCACCCGTTCCCCAGACCTGAATCCAATTGAGCACATTTGGGACATCATGTCTCGCTCCATCCACCAACGCCACATTGCACCACAGAATGTCCAGGAGTTGGGGGATGCTTTACTCCAGGTATGGGAGAAGATCCCTTAGGAGACCATCCGCCACCTCATTAGGAGCATGCCCAGGCATTGTAGGGAGGTCATACAGGCACGTGGAGGCCACACACACTACTGAGCTTCATTTTGACTTGTTTTAAGGACATTACATCAAAGTTGGATCAGCCTGTAGTGTTTTTTTCCACTTTAATTTTGAGTGTAACTCCAAATCCAGACCTCCATGGGTTGCTAAATTTGCTTTCCATTGATAATTTTTGTGTGATTTTGTTGTCAGCACATTCAACTATGTAATGAACAAAGTATTTAATAAGAATATTACATTCATTCAGATCTAGGATGTTTTATTTTTCTGTTCCCTTTATTTTTTTGAGCAGTGTATATTGTACTCTTTTGGAGCTCTGTACAAAAGAGAAACATTTAACATTGCTTATAAATTTGAATATATTTATTGTTAATTAAACTTCTCAGAGGTTTTTTGCTATTTCTTAATTTGGTTGGAACAATTTTCTGTACTTATTGAATTAAATACATATTTAAGTCTTTGAGAGCGAAGGACAGTAAATAAAAACAATAACAGGACTCATTATGAAAGATGGCTAGATAAAAGAACTATGTATCCATTTTCTTATACTCCCACCAATGCAATATAGTAAGGTTACAATTCATACAATGAGATTATTTACATTTGTTTATTTATTATATATAAGTAATATATTTATTTATGCCATCTATCTCACTATTGTGGCTTTGCGTGTCTTGCAGTATCATTAATAACAATATAGACAATTAAAAATTTAAAAATATTAAAACTTGCAGTATCATTAATAACAATATAGACAATTAAAAATTTAAAAATATTAAAACTGTAAGCATTAAAATTAAAAACATTAACATTAACAATGAACCTGATAAAAGAACCAATGTGTAAATTGGGTGAATGTGAAATCTTAGTCTAATCTATTAACTAACCCCCCGAATGGGACCCCCCCATCAGGACCCCAAGCCAGTTGGAAGAGCCAGATTTTCAGACCCTTTCAGAAGATCACAGCAGATCTCATCCATGGCAAAAAAAAAAAAAAAAAAGATCTTCCAGACCCCACTAGCCACAGATCCTTGGCTGACAGGATCCAGAGCATGCCTCTTCTGCCAGAGTCATCACCAGTAACCTGTATTTGGTACTGAACTGTTCTTATTATCTCTTCTCATGTTAGGTTATCAGCTACACTGGGATATTTTCATCTTACTTACTTTCATCTTGCAGTGTAGCCACTGCTCTAGACACAATTCCCACTGTTAGTTGCTTCTTCTTTTTTTAGAATAATATTGTGGCAAGAGAAATGTTTATATTTCCTTTCTCCAGTGCCACATAAAGAGTCTGAAATACAGTCTAGAATCTCCAGTCATAAATTTAGGTCTAAGGCCTATTTTATTTTCTCTTCCTTCCTTTCAGACTTTTTTTCAGAAGGCATTATCCAGTCAGTAGTGTTATTTTTTGTGCTTTGGATCCACAAGACAGAAAGTAAGGATGATTAATGCTTTTTCAATTCATTGTTTGTATACTCTTACATAAAGCTACCATAAAACCTTCTAACAAATTTTTTTTTATTTCTTCTCCCTTTTTTGTTTTATATAAGATGGATTAAAGATGGTCTGTCAGCAAAGTAAGTAACTATGAATACGTAGCATCTTACAGATAATATCCAAGTTTCCCTTCAACTTCTCTTCAATAAGCAATCAGGCAAAGCTTATGTTAGGACCAAACAAAATTGCAAAAAATACTGTGCAGACTTTCATATTTATCTTTGACAGCTGTCAATATTTGTTATGTGTCCATATTAACTTGTGGAATGTATGGAATCTAGTAATTTTTTGATAACATTGCATATGAGAGCTTCAGGAACCTTCTAAAGGAATTTTGTGTGTGTGTGTGTGTGTATAAATAAATAAATGATTAAATAATTAAAAGATTTGGAGAGCATATCAAGTTGTCCTGTGAAGTAATCGCAGATATCATATGTGATACTTGAAGCTACACTCTGCAAAATGTTATTTTATCTAATCTCTTAGTAGGGCAATGGAATCAGCATGCCTCAGTGTTAGACTCTTATTGTCATTCCATTTAGTTTAGCATTCAGATATTAAACAATGTGTTCACAATTAACCAGCAATGGATAGTTGTGTAGACGTGAAAAGATACTCAGGTAAGGAAGCATATGTTCAGAAATCCGTTGATGTTAAGCTGTCAGACGGGAACACAACATTTTTTTCTTGTCTAGACCTTACATAATAGGCCAGGAAGTGTTTTCATAATTGGACCAAACAGAATAAAGTGAAGTTTAATTAAAATTACCAGATTACATTCCAGAATGTTCATGTTTTTAAATAAAAATTGCAAAATATGTGCATTAAGACTTTTATCGGCTTAATGCAGTATTTTGAATAATTTCTTATATAAGATGATGCCTCAATTTTATTTTGTGTTAATTAAAAGTCCATTTTAAGTGCACACTCAGGCAGACAGTGCAGGTGAGGGAAAGATTAGTAGAGAGGAGCAAGCTGTTTCCCAGAAAAGCTTGTTCCTTATTGTTTTTCCTGTTGAAACCCTGTTTAAAAAATTCCAAAAAACTCTTAAAATACAATAGGGAAAATATTATCTTGCAGAACATTTTGAACTGTTTAATAAGTACAGTATTTCATGCCTCATCTTTGATGTTTTTTCTTTCATTTTCCAGAGTATTTGGCTTTGTTGCAAGGAAACAAGGTAGTGCAACTGATAACGTTTGCCATCTGTTTGCAGAGCATGATCCAGAACAGCCTGCCAGTGCTGTTGTAAACTTTGTATCAAAGGTCATGATCGGTTCCCCAAAGAACTGAAAGCCTCCTATTTTACTGCTCTGTTGAACTTGCAAGGAGAAAGCGTATATTCAGATGAAAGCTTTGTGGCCCTCAGCAGTTCCTCCAGTGACATTCCATCTATAAAATAAGAAAAGGGTGCATTTTACATTTCAGTAATATCAACTGACCATTTAAACATCAAACTGGGATTAAGCAAATAAGGGAATAGGAAACTTGCAAGGCCCTGAATACCATTTCTGAACAAATATTTTAAAAAATCTAAAGCATTAAAGTTAAGAAAATTGAAATACGCTTTTCTGATTTTTAACTTGTGATGGACAGAATGTGGGAGAATGGGCATTCACCTCTTTGGGCAGGTTCTTATGTGGAGTTTTTGCTAGAATTTTGTAAAGTTGAGGCTTTCAAGAAGAGATTGGACTGCCATTTGTCAGAAATGGTGTAGGGTCTCCCGTTGGACTAGATGACCTACAAGGTCCCTTCCAACTCTGATTATCTATATCCGTAAGTTGTGAGAGCAGAAATTTGCATAAGAAAAATCGTATGGGTCTCTCAGTAGTAATGTAGGATAGGATTAGGGACGGGAAGTGGAAGATACAAAGACTTGCGGATTTATTAGGCAAAAAAAGAGTACACTGACTCTTCCTAATTCTCTTGCAAATTCTCACTTTGGGGCATTTTTAAAATGTTTTTATCCCTCGAGTCGGTTCAGAAGTCACAAGCTACTGTTTGAGGCACATTTGTAGTGAACAGTGGGTTCTTAGGCTATTATATAAAATTGTTCTTTTATTTTGTTCAGAGATCCTTTGTTGCAAGTCTCACTTTCAGTACACATTTGCTTTTACAGTGATTTTTGCTTTAATCCTAACAAATTCCTAGATTTCTTCTCTTCACTTTAATATTAGAGTGATTGGACATCAAAATTATAATGGAAAAGTGTATGTGGGAAATTGGAACAAGTTTATTTTTGATGCTTTAAAGGAAGAGGAGGTTTGCCTAATGCATATATTGTAAGAAAAATGATATATTAAAATAAATAAATAAAATTAAAAAAATTAAAAAAAATTGATAATTAGGTGGATGTTTAAAAGGATAATGTGATTCAGAAATTTTATGAGGAACTTTAGCATAAAAAGTATAACACCTTTAATGATGGTAATATAAAAATGAAGGCTTTATTACCTTCTGTCTTCATTCCATCTGGACTTGGGAGGGTCTAGCTCATACAATATGCAGATTTCCTGTGCACAATGCTAGCTATTTGATTGTGCCATTTAGTGTATGCTGTTTCTGCTGCACCTGCTATTATCTGTTAGCCTATTTCTGGGGTATCTCTAAATAACCAGAAGTTGTTTAGTGTGGGAGAGACCCCCTGCTAAGCTACTGTTATGGTGCTTAGTGCATGCAATGATTTGTGCTTCAGTACTATCTTAGTCCAGCCCTTTCCACCACTGGTAGAATTTCTCAATGTCTGCCACATCAGTTATCTGTTCTATGCAGGGTCTTGCCTTGCTGTAGCATTTTGTCTTCTTGATCTACCTCCCATGTCTGCCTCAGGCCTTCTTTCAACAGCTCATCTTTAGGTGCCATCTTACTGATGTACTTCTGGATGCTCTAGGTTTCATCCTGGACAGCTTTATTCTTCATCAGACACATTCTGCCCTCTGGATGTTGGACTTCGGGTTGAAACCTCCATACATTGTGATGAGCTTCGAGTCATCACATTGGCAGCAGAGTCTGCTTTGGCCAGCTCATAATACCAGCAATATTACATACATTATTAGCTTGTGACAAATTATTTATAATATAAAACAGTTTTGGGTCTGTTGTATAGATGTTTGGTTTCTATGTACTTAAGTCTGTCACAAACATTTTTTTAAAAATAGGAGTTACATAGAAAATCTGAAAGAGTCTAGCCTGGGATATTTCTTCCAGACCACTTTACATAAAATCATTATCTAGTTTTATGAATACACAGAGCATTTTGTCCATGCCTGAGGCGGGGAGACAGTATTTCATATTCTGGCTTTAAGAATAGCCACACTTTTTAGAGAACAATATGTGCATATTTTTTATGTTTCAAGAAACAATTTAAAAAGTCATAGTTTTATACTGAAATGAATTTCTACTAATATTTTTAAAGTTTTTATTTTAAAAAAAATCTTAAATAAATTTTAAAATGAGAAAAAGAAGGGAGAGAGAGATCTTATTTTGGGTTCACTTAGTCGTATTTTGATAAACGACATACTCTGATTTGACAATCTAACATATCATGTGACCAAATATTCCAGACCAGAATATTGCTATATTTATGTATGCATTGTGATGATTTTTACAGTCTGCTTATAGAGCATATGTTTGTATATAACCCAGTGGCCACAGAAGTTACTTGTAATGATTGTGATCCCATATGTGAATGTATATTTGCACAATTGCTGATGGTATGCATGATTTCCATTCTGTGCACCACAGTGATACAATCCAGCCATAAAAGCAAATGAGGAAGGATATGAGCAATTTGAACATAAATATTTCCAGTGGCTCTAAGGAAACTGGATGCAAATAGTGGACATAAGATGTCAGAATTGCAGTTGTAAGAAGGAAACAAAAGTCTCTCTCTCTCTCTCTCTCTCTCCCCCCCCCCTCCCTCCCTCCCCCTCTCTCCCCCTTTCCTCTCCCTCCCTCTTTCTCTCTCCCATTCACACACACTGTTGAGAATAGGAATAAAACGTTACTGAAAGCATAACACAAAAGTGTTGAAACACATGTTCACGAATGGCATTATCAAAGTTAATTCTTTCTCAAGAGTAATATCAAGATGCCACATTTTTAACCATAATCAAATCTATAAATACAAGTCTTGTTTCTGTAAGCACAATGCCTCCATCTTTTTTAAAAAGCAAACAGTCCCAAGGATACAACGCTGTTTCCTCTTTGCCTGAAAGCTCTGTGTCAAACCTTCTCCAATCCAAACCCTTAGAAAGAAAAGCCTTCCATTCCATTTTGTGAAAACAAAGGGTTCTTTTACTAAGAGTATTGGTTGCAGTAGCCAGCTCTGAAAGTACCTCACTTGCTAGATACAAAAATAAGATGTACAAAAGTAAGATGTAGGTTTGCCCTTAGATTATCCCTTCCTCCATGACCAGTTTGTTTCCAGCCAACCAGAGCTTGCCAAGCTGTTTTGAGAACTCTGAGGAGTTAGGATAATCTGCATATTTCTCAGGGTGCTTGGCTGGTACATGATCCAACCGTTCTGGTCCTTCTTACCTGTCATCCCCTTTCATCTTCCCCACCCCCCTATAATCCTTCAGCCTCTTCTTGTGACAGGATGCCTGTGAGGCCCCCAAGCTGAGCCAGGCAGATCTGACATTCTGCCTCTCTTAACAGATACAGTCTGCAAAAGAAAAAAAAGAGGGAAAAGAGAGAAAGATAACATTCAATTTTCAGTTCAATGCAGCCTATCTGGGTATTTGGGTAATGGAATATTTTAAGCAGTTTGGGGGCTTTAATATGTTAGGAGTTGACCTATTCAGTTTCTGAGGGGGGAAAGTCTTTCCAGGCTTCCAAATACTGAGTTTTGGACGTGAGAATCCAAAATATCTTTAATTTCAAAGTGCTGCTTTCTCTCAATAATAAATGGGGTTGGGAAGTGGTTGCAATTTGGGATGTAAGGAAGATATAATTTCTGGTTTCAGTAGGTTATAATGAAGTACCGGGGTACATGTCCGAGTGTTTTTGGCAGCTAAAGTTTTACATTTAATGGGTTAATAATATTGACGGGGAAAGGTCCAACATATTTTGGGCCCTATTTCTTTGATAGCTGTCTAGATTGTAGGAATTTGGTAGAGAGACAGACTTTGTTTCCCACCTTAAAGTTCTTTGGCTTGATGTGCTTTTTATCAGTCTGTTTTTTGTATGCTTCTCTAGCTTCATCTAAAGCTTTTTCACCACTTTAAGTGGGCAACCCTATCACTGGATAGCTAAAAAATCTTGTCCTATGGCCACTTTAAATGGCATGAACCCTGTGCTACTGTGCACTGAGTTATAGCAACCTCCTCAAAAGGGAGGAGGTCCATCCAATTCTCCTGTTGGTAATTAATATAGAATCTGTATTGCTCCATGGTTCAGTCGCAGCTGCCATTAGTAGCTGAATGATGTGGTATTTTCAGAGCTGGTTTAAATGTCAAACCTGCCCCAATCTAAGCACAATCATCAGGCTGAAAAAAATTAACCAGTCTGTCAGCAGTATTAAGATTATTTGCAGAGATCAGTCCCTGACATAGTTGCTGCACAACTTCCTAGTTATTGGAAGATGGTTGTGATAACAATTGTCAAGCTTTGTTTCTTAGATTGCACATCCAAGGATGCAATGACAAACAATGGTACCTGGTTATTCAACAGTATCAAAATTGTTCTTTTCCTTAAATGGTTTTTCTTTTTCTCTTAAAATTTATATGAAAATGTATCCAATATGTAAAGAACATTATATAATAATCATTTCTGCTTTTTGAAGTATCAGCTCTAAACAGAGTTCAAATAAAATTGTTGAATTTTATACATGTGTTTCTACAAACTGAGATTTATGACTTGTTTTTAGTATTGCATTGGGGGCGGGGAATGGTAAGGATGGAACCCTGATGACAATACTACTAGGTGCGTTCATTATTTCACATTTTAATATATTTATTTGGTGCACATTCTAAATTTTGTGGTAGTGTTCAGGTGTATAAAATTTTCCTTACTGGATGGATGGATGGTATATGTCTTCCTCAATCTTGAATCCTCTTATTAATAGGCCTGGGAGTTTGGGAGTTCTGCACAACATTTTAGTTGTTTCAATATACCTGTATACCTGTATAAACTGTATACCTTATACTGTATAGCTGTATAAACATACCTGTATACTTGTGTATGTATGTGCATACCTCTCCCTTCTCCTTACCAATCTTTATATCCTAATACATTTTGGAAAATCCATTCCCATTTGTAAATATCCAATGCCACTATGAATGGTTGCCAGGACTGATAACACAGCATAACACAGAAAATAGCTGGCAGGTTTTCAAGAAAAGATTGGACATCTATTTGTCTGGAATGGTATAAGGACTCCTGCCTTGCACAGAGGTTTGAAGCCCTATGATTCTATGATTTTATATACCATATTTATCAACAATATCTGCCTTCCTATTAATTGTAAATAAACCAAAATCCTTTGTTTTTCAGAAACTATTCAGATGCTTCTCACTATTCTGAAGAACCACTTAGTCTTTTATGATTTGTTAATGGGAAACCAAACACTTCCACTTGGATAGACCAAGCTTTGCATAGCATACTGGACAGATTTGGGGTGACCATTGTTCAGAGGTGGTCCAGTCAGATTGTCCCAGGCCAT